AGGGGGTAGAAGTTAATGCCACATGAAAACTTGATTTTTAATTCAACAAGGACTCTACTTGCCTTTCCTGCCTGGAATATAGATTTAACAGAAACAATGAAGATGGTGTTTGGGGAATATAGAATCCAATGGGGCATTATTCCTATTGCATCATATTCAACTCTGGGTTGAAGTAAAAGAGAAGACTGGGGATTATTTAAATATGTAGTTGACCGAAAACAGAAAGAGGGAAAAAAAGAGATTCAACAAAAGTCTAACCATCCACTTTTAAGAGCCCCGTTGGCATTAACCATTTATAACAACAAGAAATCCTTAAAGGGCTAATCTTAGATGAGAATTCAGAAATGTTAAAAATTCAACAGTTTTGAGAAATGAGAAATTCTTAGTCTTGGTCTAAAAATCCTCAAAGAATTTCCATTCTTTTCCCTTGCAATGAGAAATTTGGGGGAACAAAGTATAGTGAACATCTAGTATCAGTAGTTGTTACTGAAGTCCCAAGGTCTTCACACTGATTCCCTTCCTTCTAAGGAGGCAGTGAGGGGCCATTTAACCAATTACCTCAATGTAGGCTTACCTCAGTCAAAAAAAAAAAGATTACACAGTCCAAGGAATGGGATATTCCCAACTACCATTATATACTCAACACTCTCACCAGCAGCATAAATGATTTTTTTCATGGTGGTCAAAACCCAACAACAGGGTAAGTTCAGCAACTTAATCACTAGATTTTGAGTTCCCTTAAGGGCAGGGGACATGTTTTATTCATCTTATATTCCCAGACCCCAACACAGTGTCATCCCACAGTTTGCAATCAATAAAAACATTTGTTGAAACAAAATGTTACCATGTAAAATGTCCGAGTCATCTTCAACAAAATCGATGTCTCTCAAGTCCCACTCTGCATAATTGTCAAACTCCTGTTTGGGGGAAAAAATTCCCAACTCAAACTTATCAGTTTTGAGTATTACCTTTACAGTAGTCATGCATGAGAAGCAAGCAGAAAATACAAAAGTAAACACTCATTAAAAAGCACCGAATGGGATACAAGCGCAGGATACTGCCACAGCATGTCATGGGGAAAATCTGAGAGGCTTTCAGGCAGTAGTAACAGCAAAAATGAGAACAGTTATGAGTTCACAAATAAAGCCGAAGCAATTGTTCTAAAAATTAAAAGTAGTCTGTTCATAAAAAGTAACCCCAGAAAATCAAACTCTGACTAGATCTTCAGATATGAAAATTGTCTGCATTACTGCATTAATTCATCTACCTTTTTAGTACCTTCTGAGGGCTCTAGTTATTCAATAATAGTACTTTTATAGCTCAGTGGGTAGGGTAGATCTCTTCATATTCTCTTCAATGAGTACAATTCATAGGGGTAGTATCTATGGGGTAGCTCTACAATATAACTTGCCCGGAAAAAACGCTCACCTGGGCACGGCTAGCAAAATTGTCTGTAGCTCACCAAACTTTCAACTTACCTCCAGGAACACTGTAATCTGAATTAGATAATAAATCAAGAGACTTGTGACTACATTCACATAGCTTTTAACTCCATAACTGAACAAAGAACATGTAGTTTTTATATACATTTGTCATTCTTTATCTTATAAATGACTGTAGAGGGGTCAGCAAACTGCAGCCATAGACAAATCCAGCCCACTGCCTTTCTATAAACAAACTTCACTGGAGCACTGGCATGTTCATTTGTTTATATATGGATGCTGCTTTTGCAACAATAGTGGCAAAGTTCAGTTGCAAAAGAGATTTTTTTTGGTCTAAAAAACCTAAAATATTTACCATCTGGCAGTTAACAGAAAGTCTGCCAACCCCTGATATAGTATAACCATGACACCCCCTGTATATGGAATGACAGCCAGTCTATAGAGGCCCCATAGCTACTATGAAAATGGGAACCAACACCAATGAAACTTAAGGAACTTAGTCTGAAGAACTTTTACTGTTCTACATGTGAAAATGTTTACAAATGAACAAAGGCACCCAAATAGAAGAAAATGTGGCTGCATAATGCACTACAAATTATACTACTTAGAAAATCTTTTTTTTTTTTTAAAGTGGTATGGAACCTATGGGTAAGAGATGTAAGCCTCATCGGAAATAAAAACAAGTTTCTCCTACCTCAATGAAATCTGCTCGAGCTGGCATGTATCCTGCCATGTCCCGAGAAAGCAAAGAGTCAAAAGTAGGTCGGGGAGGGTCATCTGCAGCTGGAAGAATTTAGAGTTTTTCTTATTTACATTACAAAATATTGGCCTTTAAAAAGTGACACACAAATAGTCCTCATTTACACTCTGAAAAAAAAATGTATATACACACACACACACACACATATGTATATATATTTGTTTTTTATCCTCACCTGAGGATATTTTTCCATTGATTTCCAGAGAGAGTGGAAGAGAGAGAGAAAGAGAGAAACATCAATGTGAGAGAGACATATTAATTGGTTGCCTTCCGCATGATCTGGACCAAGGCCAGGGATCAAACCGCAACTTAGGTATGTGCCCTTGACCAAATCGAATCCATGAGTCTTTGGTCCACAGGCTGATGCTCTAACCACTGAGCAAACTGGCCAGGGCTACACTCTGAAATATTTTTGTTTGGAGAAAGACAGTGTCTGATAGAACAGTGTCTGATAGAATAAATAAAATTTATTTATTTATCTTTATCCTCACCCGAGGACATTTTTTTTTTTTTTTTTGGTGGTATGTGCCCCTAGTGGGAACCAAACCCGGGGCTCTCTGGTCCGCAAGTTGATGCTCAACCGCTGAGCCAAACTGGCCAGGGCAACATTTTTTTTTTCCCCCCATTTTTTTGTTCAGATAGAGTGGGAGGGAGAGAGAGGAAGGAAGAGAGAGAGAGAGAGAGAGAGAGAGAGAGAAACATCAACGTGAAAGGGACACATCGAGTGGCTGCCACCCGCACGACCAACCAGGGCCAGGGACAAACTGCAACCGAGGTACATGCCCTTAGCGGGAACCGAACCCGGGTCTCTCTGGACCACATGCAGATGCTCTAACTGCTGAGCCAAACCGGCCAGGGCAGAATAAATAAAATTTTAAAAAAGTTTTATAAAAGGAAAAGTGAAAATAAATTATTATAAAAAGACTGATTTCTTAAAAAGGAAATTAAGACTTAAAGAATCCTTTAAGTAAATGTAGAAAAATTCGCTCTGCCTTTTGCTTTTGTCATATAAAAAAACCAAGGATCTTTTCTTTTTTTTATTCCTCACCAGAGGATACTTTTCTATTTGTCATCAGATAGAGTAGGAGGAAGGGAGAGAGGAAGAGACGGGAGAAACACTGATGTGATAGAGCCACATCGACTGGTTGCCTCCCACACGACCCGACCAGGGCCAGGGACTAACCGCAAAAGAGGTACGTGAACCTTGGCCAGAATTAAACCTGAGACTCGTTGGTCCGTGGGCCGATGCCCTAACCACTGAACCAAACTGGTCAAGGCGGATCTTTTCTTTAATATTACAGAACATAGGTATTTACCTGTTTCCTTCAGCATCCTTATGCTTTAGAACAAATCTCAATTTATAAATCTTATCCAACTGAGAGACAAAAAACACCCCATTGAACTTGGAAGTTAGCTGGAATTGAGTCCCAGCTCTAACATCCACTAGTCCCCTAACATCCACTTGACCTTGTACAAATTATTTAACCTTTCTGAATTTGTTTCCTCATGTGTAAAATAAAAGCACTTGCTCTGCCTAGCTCACTGGGTTTCTATGAGGAACAAATGGTCTAATGGATTTGGGAACAGAGCACTAACATCCAAAGTACTATCCAAATAGGTATCAGCAGGCTTTGAGTTAGTCAGCTATGAAACTATTTCTAGAGAGTATGAGGAAAGGGAGGGAAGAAGGGAAAACATTCATGTTTAATTACTTGAGCTCTGGGAGTCACTGAGGAAAGATATCCATTTATAATTCATCATGGTTTTGGTTATCTTTTGTTAGCAGATCCATGGGTCCCTTAGCCACATGAGATTTTTTAAAAAGTGTGCTATTATTGCCAGAACTAAGTGAACAAAAATAACAAATCACTTCCTGGACTTAACACTGAGATGATTAATAATTAAGGATAGTCCTGGCCGGTTTTGCTCAGTGGTTAGAGCGTCGGCCTGCAGTCTAGAGAGACCCGGGTTTGGTTCCCGCTAAGGTCATGTACCTTGGTTGCAGTTTGTCCCCGGCCCTGGTTGGGTTGTGCGGGTGGCGGCCACTCGATGTGTCCCTTTCACATAGATGTTTCTCTCTTTCTCTCCCTCCCACTCTATCTGAACAAAATATGGAAAAATGTCATCGGATGAGGATAAAAAAAAAATTAATGATAATGAGTCAAATATTGGACTTCCTTAGTAACTAATATCTACAATCATAAACCCTCCAGAGGGACTGCAAAAAGCCGTGTGTTCACAAGAGCATAGAAAGTTTGGCCCATTTTGCACATCTCACCTCATAGAAGCAAGCATTAAAGTTATAAAAATGTTCAAAAGTCTCAGGGTAACTTCAGGCTCCCTGACATCCAGTACAAAACTCTGACTCCTGGGAGATGTCCTCTTCTTGCCCCATTATATCCCTGATTTGTAATAGTCATGCCAACTCCTCCTATCTTTTGTAAACTTGTTAGTTCTCCAAGTCATCAAACCATTCTTTTTTTTTAATCCTCACCCGAGGACATTTTTCCATATTTTGTTCAGATAGAGTGGGAGGGAGAGAGAGAGAGAGAGAGAGAAACATCAATGTGAAAGGGACTCATCGAGTGGCTGCCACCTGCATGACCAATCAGGGCCGGGGACAAACTGCAACCGAGGTACGTGCCCTTAGTGGGAACCGAACCCGGGTCTCTCTGGACCGCAGGCCGAAGCTCTAACCGCTGAGTCAAACCGGCCAGGGCCATCAAACCATTCTTTATCTGCTATGCAACAGAGTCCAAAGATGACCTAAGACTCCTTTAAAAAAGGGAGGCACTTACAGTGAAATGGAATGGCTGTGTCAGCAGTTTTTGCCTCCTCTGCTTGTTTCAGGTTCAGCAAGGTAGATGCAAATAGAGGGTTGTTGATGAAATGCTTCATATAGTGTTTTTCACACTCCTCCTTGGTCTTGGTACACATCTGATTGGCCACATCCTGCCTAAAGGAATGTGAGGAAAAGAGAAGGGAATAGTGCTTTCAACTATACATAATGATAAAAGCAAGGTTTGTTCTTTCCAAATTTTAGGTCCTATCCATATAACGCCTGGAATTTGATACCTCCAAACTGGGTGCATGGAGCTATCAGCAGAACAATAAGATAAACATAAGCCTAATATTGGTGTAATCTGATATTCCAAATCCTGCTATTTAGATATAGAAACAATATCTAAAAAGCCCTTTCATTTCCACCAGAAGAAGGGAAAAATGACTAGAAAACTGGTAATTACCCTGTGAGCTAGGCCCCAAGGAAAGAATTGCTATAAATAATAACAAGCACTTCGAAACACTAAAAAACCGTAGGTAAGTTTAGTTTTATATTTGCATAATGTTTACAAAACATTTCATGTAAACAAACATTTCTTTACTAGCACTCTTACAATAGCCAAGCATAAGCTAGAAACATTCACAATATAAATTAATCCTACCATTAACCGTGTGGTGTGAGTACTAACTATCTCAATTTCACAGATGAAAAATAGTGGGGCCCAAAGACACTAAGAAACTTGCTCAAGAAGACAAAGCACATAAGCGACAAAGCCAGAATTTGTTCTCAAGACTCCTGAATCCTAGTCCAGATGACGAAGAGGTAGAGGTGAAATCTCTCAAAGTTCCCTCTCAACCTCTCTCTTCCACAACACTCCACTTGTTCTTCTCCTAAGGCACCATGTTCTACTTTGTGTACTTCAATCATATATATAGAATACATATATTTTATAATATATAGATTTTAATTCCCATTCTAGATTATAAGCTTCTTGGGGGCAGGTTGTTATAATTCTTAACTCTAGCACCCTCACCACCAAGCTTAGTGCCTTACTCGCAATGGACAGAGAAATAATACTCTTTTTGTGGTCTTTGCTAAGAGGGAAGGGGGACAGGGAGGATTAACCCATTTTTGAACATTAGAATGGCAAGCAAAAAATAAAAAACCAAAAAGGCCAAAGAGGACTACCAAGTGTCTCATGAGTGATCACGGTTTCTATCTTCTTTGGTACTCCCTATTATATACAATATTTTATGATACTTAATAAATGCTGAGTAAATTACAAGCAAAATGTGAACTGAACTCAAGTCTCCTTCTTCAGGGTCCTCAGCGTAAGGGAGGCAGCATAGTATATTCTGTTAATATCAGAAAAGATTATATACACTAGGAACTCAGGACAGGTTGGATCTAGTAAAGAGTCCTTCACTAACAAGCTATGTGATCATAAGAGATCATTTCAAGTCTCTAAGCTTCAGATTCTTCAGGAACAAAATATATTTAATAATGCCTCTACTATTTAGTTCACAAAATGGTATTACCAGTGTCAAAGTACTCTCAAAACCAAAGGACAAAAATGAAAGCAGTAGTATTATTATTAATGCTGTTCAATTCTGCCAAACTTGGACTAAGGCAGGTACTTGAAAGCTAAAAATAGGGAATAGCGAATAGGAAGTCTGTCAAACTTGAATCTTTAAGCTATGGTTATCTAGGTAAAGTCTGACTCAGTTAAATGACAAGGGCATCCACAGCCAAGAATTCACAGACTCAGAAAGGAGCAATTACTATTGAGTCTAAACTTCCCCACTATTCAGAAAGGAGTAATCAATCTTTGCTGTGTTGATACATTCAAAATGGTCTTTTAGGGCTGCCCAGTAATAGACCATGAAACATCCCATATCCCTGTGAGGCATTTTAGTGAACTTGTCTCTAAGTCATGGGTCAAAAGAAAAACAATATATGAAGCCCCCAACATATGACCCTTAAACTTCTCTTTCTGAGGTGCCTCCCTTTAACCTTCAAGAGCACCTTCTTCTCTGAGCCCACTAGGGCAGGACAAGCCCTAACACCAAGCTCTTACCAATTTCCAAAGCCACAGTCCATCACAGCTTCTAAAAGGGCCATTTCTTCTTGCGCAGTCCAGCTGGGGTCAAGAACAGGAAAATCTGAGGTCTAAGAAAGAAAGAGTTTTGCCTAAGAACATATATAGAAGTAGAACCCAGCAACCTCATAATGTATTTTGTCTTAAAAGAATAAGTTCCTGCCCTGGTTGGTTTAGTTCAGTGGTTCCAGTGTCAGCTTGTGGACCAAAGAGTTGCGGGTTCAATTCCTAGTCAAGGGCATGTACCTGGGTTGCAGGTCTGATCCCTGGCCCTGGTTGGGGTTGTGCGGGAGGCAACCAATCAATGTGTCTTTTTCACATTGATGTTTCTCTCTCTGTCTCTGTTGCTCTCTCCCTTCCTCCCTTCCACCCTCCCATCCTATCTAAATAAATAAATGAAAAAATATCCTTGGGTGAGGATTGATTTAAAAAAAAAAAAAGGAAAAATTTCCTACCACTGTTCACTGAAAAGGTCTAGAAACAATGACCAACCCAGTAGCAATGAGTATTTCTATTTCCTAGTATGCATTCTCTCTTTTTTTTTTTTTATCCTCACCCGAGGACATTTTTCCATTTTTTGTTCAGGTAGAGTGGGAGGGGGAGAGAGAGAGAGAGAGAAAAATCGACATGAAAGGGACATATCGAGTGGCTGCCACCCGCACGACCAACCAGGGCCAGGGACAAACTGCAACCGAGGTACATGCCCTTAGCGGGAACCGAACCCGAGTCTCTCTGTACCGCAGGCTGACGCTCCAACCGCTGAGCCAAACCAGCCAGGGCCCTAGTATGCATTCTCTAAATACTATTTTCCACTAAAGGATCAAGGGTTCCTTAAACAAAAAGCTGATTCCAGCTTTGGGTCAGGAAATGTACAAGATGAGACTGGAACATTTTGTCATAGAGAGCAAAGAAGCTGTCAAAGTGTCATGTCAAAAGGATTCAGGGACTAACTTGTAAAGGCTCCCACTAACCAAAAATGGAAAAATTTTGAGCAATTAATAAGATAACTGCAAAGACTAAAACACATAAAATAGTATAAACATCTAAAGGTGCCAGGAAACCAACTCAAATTTCAAAACCAGTAAAGAAAAAGGGAGGGGGAGAAGGAAGGAATTAATCAAGTATTTATCCTGCCTCCTATACAAACTTTACATAAGGGTGATCACATAGATAATGATATAAACTATCTTTTTATAGAATTTATCTCAAATTTAAAAAAATAACAGAATTAAAAGATTACTTTGTGCCTGGCCAGTGTGGCTCAGTGGTTGAGCATTGACCCATGCACCAAGTCGCCGGTTTGATTCCTGGTCAGGGCACACGTCCAGGTTGTGGGCCAGATCTCCACTGGGGGACAAGCAGAAGGTGGCCAATCAATGTTCTCTCTCATCAACATTTCTATCTCTCTCTCCTTCTCTCTCTAAAATCAATAAAGAAGATTAAAAAAAAAAGACAACTACTTTGCAATCCTTCCTCAATAAATTAATAGATCTAGACAATGATCATAAGTGAATCAGATGTAGCCAATAGATCTAGCTACCAATTTATAGGAAACACAGAAGGCAGAGGAACACATCAATCAGCAAAATCTAGCCTGTATTAACATCTATTAAGACAAACAACCCAGTGTTTAAAATATCAAATAAACTATAAGCAATGAGAGAAAGTGAGGGAAGACTGGGGAGGAGAAAAACCCACAGAACGGAAAATATCTGAGGCAACCAACTGGAATGTATGAACTTTATTTGCATCCCAATTAGAACAAATTGTAAAAGTGGGAAAATATTCAATATGTTTCCACTGATTTTTTTAGAGAGAGAGGAAGGGAGAGAGAGATAGAAACACTGATGTGAGAAACATGGATCAGCTCCCTCCTGCATGCCCCCTACTGGGGATGGAGCCGGCAACCTGTACATGTGCCCTGACCCAGAATCAACAGGGGCCTCTCAGTCCATGGGTCAAGACTCAATCCACTGAGCCACACCGGCTGGGCTGAAAAAATATTTTTATGATACCACTACACACTCATGATAGCCAAAAGAATAATAAAAGTAAAGAAACTGACGATATCAAAAGTTGACAAGCATGTGGAACAATCACAACTCTCAGACATTGCTAGTAGAGATATAAAATGACACAACCACTTAGGAAACTTTTTGAGTTTCTTAAAAGTTAATCATTTATTCTCCGACCCAGCAATTCCATTCCTAAGAATTTATCTAAGAAAAATTAAAATATATATCCATAGAAAGCCTTTAACAAGAATGTTCAGCCCTGGCCGGTTTGGCTCAGCGGTTAGAGCGTCAGCCTGCGGTCCTGAGAGACCCAGGTTCGGTTCCCGCTAAGGGCATGTACCTCAGTTGCAGTTTGTCCCCGGCCCTGGTTGGTCATGCGGGTGGCAGCCACTCGATGTGTCCCTTCACATCGATGTTTCTCTCTCTCTGTCTCTCTCTCTTCCTCTCTCTCCCTCCCGCTCTATCTGAACAACAACAACAACAAAAAAAAATGGAAAAATGTCCTCGGGTGAGGAAAAAAAAAAAAAAAGAATGTTCATAGTGGTTTTATTCACAATAGCAAAAAACTAGGCAAAGCCCATGTGTCCATCAACAGAATGGATAAACAAACTGTTATAGTCTTACCATGGAATATTACTCAGTAACAAAAAGGAATGAACTACTATATACAACATGAATAAATCTCAAAAACATGCTGAGTGAAAGAAACAAATACATACAGTATGAATCCATTATATGTCATTGTAGAATATGCAAAACTGATCTATGATGATAAAAATCAGAACAGTGATTGTTTCAGAGGTGGAGAAAGGAGCAGAGATTTTTTAAAAAGCTTTTATGAAATGAATGGGGAAATGTGAAAAGTGACTTGAATTCCTTTTAAATTTTAGAGAGATACAATAAAGCATTTACAGTTAAAATGATATAATGTCTGGGAGATTTGCTTCACAGTAATTTGAAACATTGGGGGTTTAGATGAAATAAAATATGAATTCGATATAGTAAAGGACCCTGAGTTGATCATTTTAATAGCTAGTGACAGGTATATGGGTATACTATGTATGGTAGTTGGTTACAATGGTGGCTCTCAATGAACTTCTAGAATGCACATCCTTGTGTAGTCCTTTCTCATTTAATACAAGGTGGACCTGTGACTTGCTTAAGAAGGCCTAGCAGCTACCACTTTTGTGTTATTGGGATTCCTGAGCCACCACATAAGAAATCTAGCCTCCTTGCTGGAAAGAACATGTGGAAAGAGAGAGAGGTCCTAAGACTACTAAAGAAGAACCAAGGCCGCAGGCAGGTAAGATGTTTGAGCTAATTCCCAACCAATTTAAACCATCCCCCTGAGGTGCCAATGTGTGTGGGAAAAAAAGCCCTTGGACTTGCAGCCCCACCACATCATGTAGAACTGCAAGTTACCCTCACCATGCCCAGTCTGAATTCCTGACCCACAAAACTGTGGGAGATAACAGGATTGTTATTTTAGGCCACAAAGTTTTGTGGTAGCTGTTAGGTAGCAACAGATAACTGAAACACGATTCTATTTTAGTATCTGTTTAAAACTTTCTATAGTAAACTTTTTAAAAAGCGACATAAGAGGTCTTCAGATTACACAGGCGTTTAGAAATGGTTGTATCTTTTGTTAACGACAAAATTACTGGAGTGATTTGTGAAATTACACTATTAAGCAATATCTGAGCATGTACTATAAATATGCTAAGCACATAAGGTACTATGAGACCAATGAGAAATTTCGGGGTCTATTTCTATATTGAATTCATAAACCACTCAACCTGGCAAGTGCCATAAATACATGTAAATATGACAAGTCACAGTCGAAAGCCTATGCTATTTCTAAAACTGCATTACAGAATATTAATTAGCCTTCACCAATTGTACTGTGAGATAAACAAGACTTTCTACACCAAAAATAAATGGACAAAATATAGTTTTTCTTAAAGTTTTATCAATGTTATTTAATTCCTGGACCCAATCTTAGCCCCACTGAACCAGAATCTCTAATAGCAGGGCTTAGAAATTTACTTTTTAAAAAAAAATATTTTTTCTTTATTGATTTTAGAGAGAGGAAAGGAGAAAGAGAGAACTAGAAACATCGATGAGAGAGAACATCGACTGGCCGCCTCCTGCATGCCCCCCACTGGGGATCAGGCCCACAACCTGGGTATGTGCCTTGAACAGGAATTGAACTGGCGACCTCTTGGTGCATGGGCCAACACTCAACGAGTGAGCTACACCGGCTGGGCAGGAATTTACATTTTTAAGAAGCTCCCAAGTAACCTTTCTCCACTAAAGTTTAAGAATCACTGGTATAAAGGGTGTGGCAGAAAGTGGTGCCTTGACTTGTTCAAGGTTCTAAGAATTATAAGACAAAAATAGGCATAGGACTCAGAAATCTTAACACACCACCCACCACAGCATGAGTAACTTCCAAAAATACAGCACTGTGAGGTGACAAAAGTACTGAAAACCATTTAAAGTTTTCTGAGGCTTCACATGCCAAATAAACAATAACAACAAAAAAACCCCAAGTTTTTAGTGGCTTCATGTGTAGAAAGCCAAAATTTGGTCATTATTCCTACTGAAGAAAAGATTCTTCTTTCCTGTGTCTGGGAATAGATGACTGGCAGAAAAAAAGGGAGGATTAGTAACCTTCTAAAGCTCCCCAAGTAAAAGACAGGATTCTTTTTTTTTTTTTTTATCCTCACCCGAGGATATTTTTCCATTTTTTGTTCAGATAGCGTGGGAGGGAGAGAGAGGAAGGGAGAGAGAGAGAGAGAAACATCGATGTGAAGGGACACATCGAGTGGCTGCCACTCGCACAACCAACCAGGGCCGGGGACAAACTGCAACCGAAGTACGTGCCCTTAGCGGGAACCGAACCCGGGTCTCTCCGGACCGCAGGCCGACGCTCCAACCGCTGAGCCAAACTGGCCAGGGCAAAGACAGGATTCTAAGATGTGTTTGTATGGGTTTTGAATATGTGAGAAATGATGATGCAATAAGAAGAAGTAAGTGGACTTGGAGTGAAATTTAGTACCTTCAGCATAATGCAAAAGGCACTGTTTCCAGAACAGCTAGACAGCTCATAGTCACTTTCTCACAATGGGTAACTATCAATCTACTCAACTTATACTTAATTATCCTCTAAGAAATTATTTTCATAATTCAAATGAATAAATGTGTATACTGGCTCCAGGCATTCTTGTGTGAATTTGGGAAAAATAAACCAGCTTTCTGAAGATTTGATAATCTTGATGAAATGCACTCAAAGCCATAACGACTCCTACCACACTTCACATTCATTTTGCAATTAACAAAAGGGGAAAAATTTATTGATATGAAAAGATATTCTACATCATATGTTATCAGAGAAATGCCAATTAAAATGAGTTACACTATAAACCTATTAGAATAGCCAAAATCCAAATAGACAACATCAAATACTGGTGAGAATGTGGAGCAAAATGAACTCATTCATTGCTAGTTGGAATACAAAATGGTATAGTCGCCCTGGCCAGTTTGGCTCAGCGGTTAGAGCGTCGGCCTGCGGTCCGAAGAGACCCGGGTTCGGTTCCCGCTAAGGGCACGTACCTCGGTTGCAGTTTGTCCCCGGCCCTGGTCGGTCGTGCGGGTGGCAGCCACTCGATGTGTCCCTTTCACGTCGATGCTTCTCTCTCTCTCTCCCTTCCTCTCTCTCCCTCCCACTCTATCTGTACAAAAAATGGAAAAATATCCTCGGGTGAGGATAAAAAAAAAAAAAAAAAAAAAAAATCACAAAATGGTATAGTCACTTTGGAAGACAGGTTGGCAGTTTCTAAACATACTCTTACCATATGATCCACCAATCAAGTCCCTTGGTATTTACCCAAAGGAGTCGAAAACCTGTCCACACAAAAACCTGCATGTGGATGTTTATAGCAGCTTTATTCATAATTGCCAAACCTTGGGAGCAACCAAGACGTTCTTTAGTAGGTGAATAAATAAACTGTGGTACATCCAGACAATGGAGTATTATTCCGTGCTAAAAAGAAATGAGCTATCAAGCCATAAAAAAGACATGGAGGTAACTTAAATACATATTACTAGTGAAAGAAGCCAATATGATACATGTTGTATGTATCACACACAGATATTGTATGATTCCAACTATATGACACTCTGGAAAAAACTATGGAGACCATAAAAAGATCTGATTGCCAAGGGTGAAGGGGAAAGATGGAGGAATAGGCAGAGCACAGAGTACAATACTGTAATGGCGGATACATGACATTATATATTTGTATAAACCATCTGAATGTACAACACCAAGAGTGAACACCAATGTAAACATGAACTTTGGGTGATAATGAAGTATCAATGTGGGTTCATCAATTATAACAAATGTACCACTCTGGTGGTGATGTTGATAATAGGTAGTCCAAGTGTTTGTAGGGGTAGGGAATATATGAGAAATCTGTACTTTCTACTGAGTTTTGCTGTGAACCTATAAATGCTCTAAAAAAATAAAACCTAATATAAAAAAAATATATTCTAAGTCTTATAATTGGTGAAGAAAAAAGTTAGTAGACAAAGTATTTAGAGAGGTAGGGTAAAGGCTAACTAGCTGACTGCCAAGAACTCTTACTAAGGAACATTTTTTGATTAATTCATTATGGACCAGGATCTCTCAGCCTTTCAGGCCCAGAAATTTATCTTAACAGGACCCCACAAATAATTAGATTCAGAGATGCTGATTCACCCTTTTTAAACTTTTAAGAAATTGAGGTAGATATACTATAGTGCTGTGGTAGGCATAATTCTAAAGATGACCCCTTCTACCCCCAGAATTCCTGTTCCCTGATTATTCAAACACTAACTACATATTTATGTGAATGGACTCTGCTGATGGGACTAAGATACTAATCAATTAGCCTTAGAATAGGAAGAGTATCCTGCATTGGATACTCTAATTTAATCACATGGGCCCTCAAAAGTAGAAGAGGAAGGCATTATTACTGTCAAGCAGATGCCCCAGCCAGCACTTTCCTATAAGTAAGACTACATGGTGAACTACAAGTCATGTAACTGACAACTATCTTGACAAAGGTATACATACCTACCAAGCTGACCAGATATTTTGGCTTATTAAAGTTTCCATTCCTTGGGCTAGAGCTTGGAAGTATACTGCCTCTCATTCCTTCTTTAAGAGGTGGTAATACAATTAATCAAAGTACAACCAAGTTTTACTCTGGCCTATAAGCCAGTCTGTTTCTTCAAAGTGATTTTATGTATTGTATCATTCATTCTATGTTCATTTAAAAAAGGTAACTAAGTTCCCCACGCAAGGGGAATAGAGTACCAGACATACACATTACCATTACCCCCATGAGCCACATAAAAATACCATTAGCCAAAACACATCGATGACACATCTACTATATGTTTATCAATGAACCTGAAAAGCAGCACATCAGTAAATCTCAAAAAATGCTTCCTTTAAATTCTGTCTAAATTTTATTTATTTATTTTTAATATGTTTTCATTGATTTTTTCAGAGAGAGACGGAAAAAGAGAGAGATAGAAACATCAATAGAAGAGAGAGGAAGAGAGACATAGAAACATCAATGTGAGAGAGAAACATCAATCAGCTGCCTCCTGCACACACCCCAGTGGGGACTGAGCCCACAACCTGGGCATGTGCCCTGACAGGGAATTGAACCAGGATCTCTCAGTCCATGGGACAATGTTCAATCCACTAAGCTACACCAGCTGGGCAATTCCTTCTAAATTTTAAACAAAAATCTGAATATATAAAATGATTTCGGGGCCCTTGCCAGTTTGGCTCAGTGGTTAGAGTGTTTGCCCGTGGACCAATGAGTAATGGGTTTGATTCTGGTCAAGGGCACGTACCTCAGTTGCGGTTCATCGCCGGCCGTGGTCACCGGGTCATGCGGGAGGCACCAGTCAGTGTGGCTCTATCACATCATTGTTTTTTTTTTCTCTCTCTCTCTCCCTTCTCCCTCCCACTCTATCTGATGATAAACAGAAAAGTATCCTCAGGTGAGGAAAAAAAACTTAAAAAAGAAAATAAAATAAATTTTGGACTTAAAATGTCTTAGTAGATCCATAAAACTCTAAAAAACTTATTGGGTAATGATTACCTAATTCAGAAGAGGAGGAAAGAAAAGGGAAAGAGATAAAGAAAAAGGACTAATTTCCATGCAAGACTTGAAAAATAATCAGAAATTCCCTGCAACTTCATCATTACCATTATTTCATAAGTATGATCGCTTTGATGCTTCTTGTACTCGAATCCTCGAGTGAAACACTGCAATAAAGAGGAAAATTAAGTTACCAAAAGCTAATTTTTGAAATGCTTTCTTAAAGGTTAAAAGACAGTTTGGGGGTACTCTACTCTTGTGATGAATTTTTAAGATTTCATTTAATCTTGTCTGTATCTATAATAGGCTGGTTATATTCATGATCATAGCTTTTCTGTGGCCCTCAAGGAGAATAAACAACAATCCAAAAAAAAAGACTTTTCCCTAGAACAACAACTCCTTTGATAAGAGCTTAAGCCCTGGAATCAGATTGCTTATATTTGAATTTTGGCTCCATGCTTACCTATTTCAGCAATTCTAAGACATATTTATTCATATTTTAAAACTCTGAAATAAGGATTCATCTTATAATAAAAAGTATAATGCAACTTCCATCTGCCATTTTTACATTTCTAAAATTGGGATTCTTCTTATAATCAATAGTGTCTTGAATCCAACAAAATATGGTATTTGTTTTGTGACCTTGAGCAAATTACTTAATCTTCTCTTCACCTGAGTTTCTTCTATAAAATGGGAATACTAATCATACTTACTTTATTGGGTTGTAGTGGTGGTGATTTAAGAGTTAATTCATACATAGTACTCAAAATAGGGCCTGGCACAGAGTAAGTAAGCACTTATAATTAGTATTATTATTTCCATCATCATCTACAAAATGGTTTGTTCCCTTGTTTGTCAGCTGCCCAAAGATTACTCTTTAAGAAGACAATAAACAGTGTGTCATAGGTGCTAGCAAAAGAAATAACCCTTCTATTCTGGTCCTGTAGTCTCAATACTAACACTACTGGCAAAAACAGTGTTAAACATTAGGTTCACACAGAGATGTGAAATATGAGCACACCTCATTTTACTGTGCTTTGTTTTACTGCACTTCACAGATGTTGTGTTTTTTACAAATTGAAGTCAAGACCCTCCACTAGGAAAAAGATTACAATTCACTTTACTGTGAAACTCGTTTTATCATGGGATCTAGAACCAAACCCAGAATATCTATGAGATACACTTGTATTCAATAGTCTATCTCATCTATCTGCTCTGTTGCCCAACTTTTCATTGGTAAAATGTGTACTGGAAGATTGACTGGAAGGAACAGATTTAATAAGGTATGGTCCTTCTGAGCAATCGATAGTCATCTCTAAATTTATTATATCCATAAAACAAGCCTAGGAGAGCCAGGCCTCTCATTAATGAGTTACCTGTAAGCAGAGCAAAAAAGGAGGTGGCCCACATTCTGCACACTTGATATAAGGCTCCATGAGGTAAGAGGAGCAGCCTCGGCAAGGTGGTTTATCAGAGGGATCACCTAGAACAAACAGAAAAATATACTAGCTTCAAACACCTTATGATTATGTTAAGAGCAAGAGGGTGAAAATCTGCAAATGACTACACAGGTAGTGAGCTGTGCCGGCAAGTTCATGGAGACAAGATGAGCTCGTTCCAAATAAGAAAAAATAAAAACTATGTTCCTTTTTATTTCAGGGCAGCTTTGTTCCTCCCTACGGTGTACCTAATACTTCAAACAGCATCTAAGTAGATATGGCCCTTGCAAAGAAATTTACAAACACAGGTTTTAACTGGAGTTTCATAATACCCATAACTTATTTTTTCAGGGGGAAAAAATGTCACATACCTACATCACACACACACACATATATAGATAGATAGATAATGCAAATCTGTCAAAATATTAATGATTGCTGAATATAGGTAGTGGGCAACAAGTAATCACTACTGTTCTTTCAACTTTTCTATAAGTCTGAAAATTTTCAGAATAAAAAGTTTGGGGAAAAAACTCCTTTAGATATGCCTTGAGGTATACTACTTTATATTTGAGCTGAGATTTAAACCCAAAAAAGCTCCCTCCCTTTCTTCCACAGTAAGCAGAGAAAATCGCAAACCTTACGCTAGTTCCAACATCTCTGAAATATTAAGGTGAGGAGTACAAACCAACTCTTAGTCATAAAAATGCAGATGGGTATGACCCCAGAAACCCCAAATTCTCCTTCTCTTGAGTCAGGGCAATCTAGCAGAGTAGTTTGTTATCAATATCAGGAGTCTAACATAGGCTTTGAAGGTAGATGAAGGGATTTAATCTCTTTAGCTTGGGGCCAGATTTCTCACATTTTGTAACAGCATTTTTCTTCCTAAAATCTGAGAAACTCTTCAAGGCATCTTTCTCTCCTACAAGTGATGATTACTGTTCTTTTCATTTGTTTCTAAATGAAGACAAGGAGGAAAACCACAGGGGAGAAAAATGTAATCCTTCTGGCAGTAGCTTCAAAATAAACATAAGGAAGAGCAACTACCCCACTTTTCCCACTTAAAATTTTGACACAAGAATAAAAAAAAATTGTTTTATATTAAGTGCAAATGCTAATTTTTTACCAAATTACCTTCTTCTTATCATCCCTTTATATTAATGGTATCAGCTTGTTTTTCTTTCCTCAAACATTCCTGCCCTGGCCGGTTTGGCTCAGTGGTTAGAGCATCGGCCTGCAGTCCAGAGAGACCCGGGTTCGGTTCCCACTAAGGGCACGTACCTCGGTTGCAGTTTGTCCCTGACCCTGGTTGGGTTGTGTGGGTGTCAGCCACTCGATGTGTTCCTCTCATGCCCTCTCATGTAGATGTCTCTCTCTCTCTCTCTCTCTCTCTCTCCCTGCCTCCCACTGTATCTGAACAAAAAATGGAAAAATGTCCTTGGGTGAGGATAAAATAAAATGAAATAAAATAAAAACATTCCTCAGGAAAAAAATTGGTCACTAACCAAAGTAAAGAGTTTTAAAACTCTTATGTTGCCCTGGCCGGTTTGGCTCAGTGGTTAGAGCATCGGCCTGCGGTCCGGAGACCCGGGTTCGGTTCCTGCTAAGGGCATGTACCTCGGTTGCAGTTTGTCCCCGGCCCTGGTTGGTCGTGTGGGTGGCAGCCACTCGATGTGTCTCTTTCACGTCGATGTTTCTCTCTCTCTCTCTCTTCCTCTCTCTCCCTCCCACTCTATCGGTGCAAAAAATGGAAAAATGTCCTCGGGTGAGGATAAAAAAATAAATAAAAAAATAAATAAAAATAAAACTCTTATGTCAAGAAGTAATTCTTGTGTAACAGCAATCTAATATTTAGTTTAAAAATGTTTAGACAATGTCATCCTCTATTAACATTTTGATTTTCAACCTTTCTTCTATGTGTGTGTGTATTTATTTTAACAAAAGTGGGATACTATACATGATGTTTTGTAGTGTTTATTATTATTTTTTAACTGTCACCCAAGGATATATTTCCATTGATTTTTATATAGGTGGGGAGAGAGAGAGACAGAGAGAGAGCACATGGAACATCAATGAGAGACACATTGATTTGGTTTCCTCCTGCATGATCCCAACTGCAGCTGGGATCGAACCTGCGACCCTTTGGGTCCATAGGCCAATGCTGTAACTGCTGAGCCAAACTGGCCAGGGCTTGAGCCTGTTTTTCTCACTTGACAACATATTGTCATCTCTCATGACAGTACATTTAGATCTTCTTCATTCTTTTGCCAGTGTAGGGAATCTTTTTTCTGCCAAGGGCCATTTGGGTATTTATAACATCTTTCTTGGGCCATACAAAATCAATAGCTGGTACTGATTTTGAGGGCCTTATATGGCCTGTGGGCTGGATGTTTCCTCCCCTGAAACTCAATGGTTTTCAACTACCCTCTAGAAAGGCATTTTGAAAATCTGAGATGCCTTTTTGTTTCCACAAGGACTAGGGAGCACTACTGGCATTTAGCAGGCAGGGACCAGAGATGCTAGTTATCCTGAATGGTCAAGACATTCCTCCAAAACAAAGAATTGGCCTGTATCTGTACAACTTTCAAATGTCCCACCAGATATTCAAGTAGGTAAAAAAATCTGTTCATAATTACATGACCCAGAACCCAGTTTCATATTACATATAAAACAAAATGTTTTTGACAGTTTTAATACATATTTCATTTTCCAAGAAAGCAAGTGCACATTCTCTCAGAGGAGATTGCATCTTCTTTTGTTCAGAACTTTACCAAGGGTTATTAAGCTTGTGGTCTTTCTGTGTCACCAATACAACACACATGAATCATTCATTGTGCACGTGTAGTTGTAAGATGGTGACTCAACATATGTGTGTAAGCACCTGACTACTTAAGTCATAATGTCTTCTACTGTAATCATGTCTAAACATATTGAGATCCAAATTTTTTTTATTATAAATTGGATTATTTTGTTATAAATTACTTCTTTTATTTACCCTTTGTATTATAGATAGGGTAGTATTGTTTTAATCTTTATTTTATTTTTAAAATGTTTTTTCTTTATTTTTTAGAGAGGAAGGGAGAGATACAAACATTAATCGACTGCCTCCTGCACACCCCCTATTGGGGATTCAGCCCACAACCTGGGCATGTACCCTGACCTGGAATCGAATAGGGACCTCTCAGTCCATGGGACAATGATCAATCCCTAAGCCACACTGGCTGGGCCATTATTGTCTTTATTTCTTTGAAATCATGGTTATAGATATGTTATATCATCTATGTATTTTATTTCCAAATAGCAAAAGGGGTTTAAAAAATATTACAAAAAGAAATCGCTGGGTCTCATAAGGTTGAGAACTAATTTAAACAGTTCCCTGCTGGTGGACATTTATGTTGTTTCCAATTATTTACTACCATAAAGAATGCTGAGACCAACATTTTGTATATACAACTTTGCACATTTGTTCCTCAGGATATGTATTTTCCTAGAACTAAAACTGTTGAATATACAGAGGATTTTTATATATATAGTCAAAGAACCCTTTACAAAGGTATTCCAGAACTTTTCTATAACTTAGGAGAAAGGCTTTTTACCATCATTCAAAATCCAAGGGAATAAAATTTTAATACATTTGAGTGTATAAACAAAGCCAACAAACAAAAACTCTTTCTTTGCAAACAAACAAAAAAACCCACCAGAAGCAAAGTAAAAAAGCTAATAAACTGAAAGAAAATACTTGCAAACATATTATAAAGGGCTAAAATCCCTAATATTACAAAGAACCTTTAAAAAGAAAAAAAGAAAAGGACCAAAAATCTTATCGCAAAAGACACAAAGAGATAATTAGAAAAAAGATATATAAAAATGGCTCTTAAATATATGAAAAGACATTCAACTTCACTTATAATAAGAGAAATCTACACTGAGATAGAACTTCGCATCTATCAGGCAGGCAAAAATTCAAAAGCTTGATAATCCTTTCTTTGTAAGGCTGTGGGGAAATAGTCATTCTCATATATTGTTGAAAGGAATGCAAAATGGCACAATTCCTATAGAGGAGAATTTAACTGTATTGAAATAAAACGAATGCACCCAGCCCTGGCCAGTGTTTCTCAATGGTTAGAGCGTTGGTCTGTTTACTGAAGGGTCCCGGGTTGATTCCCAGTAAATGGCATGTACCTGGGTTGCAGGTTTGTTCCCTGACCCCAGTTGGGGCAAATAGGGGAGGCAACCAATTGATGTGTCTTTCACATCGATGATTCTCTCTCTCTCTCTCTCTCGCCCCCCTTTCCCTCCCCCTTTCCCCCCCCCTCTAAAAATCAATGGAAAAAATATCCTCAGGTGAGAATTATTAACAACAACATCTAATGCATTTATTTATTTATTTATTTATTTATTTATTTATTTATTGTAATTGCAAGTATTTTAATGTCCAAGCACTGGAATAGTTGAACAAGCTATGGTACACCCATATGATGAGTACTACAGCTATATAAAAAATAAAGAATGTAAGAACAATCTATAAACTAATATAGTATTTCCAGGAGATACTATTAAGTGAAATACAAAACCAAAGTGCAAAAGAGCATATATGGTATGCTATCTTTCCTGTAAGAAATTGGGGGTGGAGGGGAATTACATATATATGCTTACTTTGCAGAAAGAAATAAAGGACAGACAAACTTAAAAACAGTGAAGTCAGGCCCTAGCTGGTGTGGCCTCAGTTGGTTAGGCATCTTCCCCTGCACTGAGAGGTTTCTGGTTCGATTCCCAGTTGGGACACATGCCTGTGTTTTAGGCTCGATCCCCAGTAGCAGGCGTGCAAGAGGCACCAATTGATGTTATGTGCTCACATCAAAGCTTCTTTCTCACTTCCTCTCTCTCTAAAAATCAATAAACTATTCTTTAAAAAACAAACAAACAATGAAGTCAGATACCTACAAAGGATTGGGGGAGGGAGAATGGAATGGATACAGGAAGAGGTGATCACTCTCAAAATATCTTTTTGTATAGCTTTGACTTTTAGAAGCATATTTGTATT